AGTGAGTGAGAGAGAGAGAGAGAGAGAGAGTGAGTGAGAGAGAGACAGACATTCTAGAGCCACCCAAAAGTGCTCTTGCCTTTTTCATTCTTCTTTCACAAAGTGGAAAACAGTCACTGTTATTTGTGCAAAAATATCCAGTCTAGGGGTGCTGCAGAATTACACTCTCATAGTACTTCTGCATCAGCGTGCGAGAACGCAACCAAACACTGTGAACATCCTTCAGTGGTGGTATTTCAATAAAAAACAGGGTGTCTACAGATATGAACAAGTTAAATTCAAGACTTTTTAAGACCAAACCTGTGATGGAAATACACAGTATATTACACACGAATATGTAATATTTAATGTGTTTAGCATAAAAAGAAAACAAAATATCATCACTGTCAAAAATGCTATTTATTATTATGATATACAGTGAAGTTTTCACATCAGCAGACAATATCCCACAGAAGCACCGCGTCACCGAGAGTGTAAACGATTAATATTTTCATCAGTGTTCTGTCAGCTTTACATACTTAAATCTGCACGTTTTTAATATTTACCTTTATAAAGGCCAATATTTTTTAACCTTATTAAATGTATGCATCATCTTTCAAATCAAATTATTACAATTGATCAAGAAATTCAATATACACCACAGGGCTGTTACCAAATTAAATAGCGTACACTGCAAAATTACAGCTGCAATAAATAATGTTATGAGATTAATGTTTTAAATAAAATCTTGAATATACAAATAAGAAATGTTGGGGGAAAGTTCATACTTTTAAACATGAGAGTAATCCGGCAGTAGGTCAAACGATTCCTTCATTCAGAAACCAGCTCGAGAATCTGCAATACTTGCTCTGATCTTCGTTTGGAACTATTTTCGTTGGTGAAATAGAACAAAACGGTCAATATTGTGTCCTCAGTATGTTTGTTCTGTGTGCCGTTACGATTTGATTTGAAGTCTCACACAGAGCCACAGTGATGCCAGAAATACGCTATCCATCATCAATCGCTGTTTAAGCTGAATGAAATAAAATCGTTTCGATGCGTCACTACTTATTTTGTCCCTTAAGTTTTAATCGGGCTATTTGTCCCGTCAGGCAAGTAAAATTCTCAAGCCATTTTTCATTAGCCCTGCATTAAGCCGTTTAAAGCAGCTGGTCAGACTGCATTCTGCTGCCGCAATCCTCTCTGGTGACGTGGTGACTACTGCTAATATTCTGAATAAACTCCATCTTATAACTGACACCTAATTAAGCGAGACTAGCGCAGGAAGAGCAGCGTGACAGGTGGAGGTGAGCGAGAGGACAGCGGTTATCAGTGTGTCGCTCTGAACACCTCCTCAGGCTGACAGAGAGAGAGAGAGAGAGAGAGAGAGTACCTCTGCTGCTGTTCTCCATCGTGTACAGATAATCCATGTAGAACGCACCGTAGCGCTGCAGCCCCGTGTTCTCCGTGTACGTCTCCTGCGAACACAAGCAGAGCAGAACCGTGTTCAGTGACAGGATCACACACCGCACCTCCGGACCTTCACTAACCACAGACGATCAGCAACAGAACAAAACCCTGAGGATGCTTCTACACACAAATACACCGCACAGTCTATCAGCATCTGCATTACTGCAACTGTGTTTATGATTAGATCTACATTATGAGGCCAAGTCAAGTCACCTTTATTTATACAGCGCTTTATACAATACTGATTGTGTCAGCTTTACAGAGTCTAACAGGAAAATAGTGTCGTCAATAACGCAAGACGACGATAAAAGAGTCATTTTCCAGCTTAAGTCAGTTCATTCCAAGTTCAGCTCTCTTCTAGTGTCTGTGCAATCAGTCAAGCGTCCCCAGCTAAACATGACAAAGAAACCAAAACTCCATCAGTGACAGAATGGAGAAAACACTTTGGGAGAAACCAGGCTCAGTCGGGGGCCAGAAAACAGAAACACCACAAGCTGCTTTGATAGAAAATGTTTACATTGACTTTCATAATTCAATCATCTGGCAGAAGCTTTTATCCAAAGTGACGTACAGTACTGCAGTACTACTGGCGCTACAGGAATGATAAAAGAGCATTCATAGAGTGTTCCTGCAGCTCAAACAGCACAGCATCACGCTAGCAACAGCAAGCTCATGGGTTCGATTCCTAAAGGGATGAATGAACTGATGATGTACACCTCGAATCCTGTTCAAGTCGCTGAATAAAGCTCAAAACTGAAAAACGTTTTTAAAAAAGGCGTGACATGGCTGTGAGTTTCAATCTAGCCTATTATGCTAGTCTACATAAAGCGCTGAGCTTCAAAACTGACAACTAATATGATTCAATAAACTCAACCTATCAAGAGAACATTCAGTCTTCATTAGCTCTGGATATCAGACATTGGATTTAGACTCTTATATATATATATTCTGACAGGAGATCTAACAAAACAACTGGTTCAGACAACTCACTCACTCACTCACTCACTCACACACTCTCTCACTCACACTCACACTCACTCTCTCACTCACACTCACACTCACACACTCACTCTCTCACTCACACTCACACACTCTCTCACTCACACTCACACTCACTCACACACTCACTCACTCTCTCACTCACACTCACACACTCTCTCACTCACACTCACACACTCTCTCACT